CCGCGGAGGACCGCGGGTCGGAGCCGGGCCGCCTCTCCCGGCTCGCAGGTGACGCGCTGGGGTCGAGCGGGAGGGGCGGCGCGTGCAGAGGGGTGCTCCGCGGGGCGCGGCGGGGTGCAGGGTGCTGCGCGAGGCTCGGGGCTGTGTTTGGGGGGGTCAGGTGAGGAGGGAGGGAGGACAGGCAGGCCTATGTAACCCGAGAGGGAGCACCTCCGGTTAAGAGTGGGAGGACGCCCGAGGAATCAGCTGGAGGGGGCACCACTGCGAGGGAGTGGGCGCAGGAAGCTCGCGCAGAGCGGGAGCATCTCAGGGAGGAGCGGGAGGAGGCAAGAGGAGGCGGGGAACCAGAGCCGGAGGGGAGCACTTCTTTGAGGGAGTGGACAGAGGACGGAGCTGGCCTGGGAGGGCTGTGGTGTCCTGGAGGAGGATAGGCAGGGAGCACCTAGCATTCGTGCCTCTGTTTTGCTTTTGCAAGAGGCCAAAAGCTGGCTATTATTATCCTCCGATTATAAGTGGAGAAACAGGGCCGGCCCCCGTGGTTTAGCGGTTAAGTGCGCGCGCTCCGCTGCTGGCGGCCAGGGTTCAGATCCCGGGCGCGCACCAACGCACCGCTTCTCCAGCCATGCTGAGGCCGCGTCCCACATACAGGAACTAGAAGGATGTGCAGCTATGACATACAACTATCTACTGGGGCTTTGGGGGGAAAAAAAAAGTGGAGAAAAAGTGGAGAAACAGGCTCAGAGAGGTGGTTAAGGGACTTTAGCAAAGTCACACAGCTGGTAAGTTCCAGACCTGAAATCCTATTCTCACCTAAAAATGGGGACCTGGGTTCTCTTGAAAGAGTTTGCCAAGGTGGGTGGTAACGCCCTCCCTTGGGGCCCCAGCTCTCCAGTGCTCCACAGTCACCAGCTTCTCTCTGGGCTGGATTTCCCTAGGCCTGTGGGCTTTTCGTTTGTGTGGGTGAGCTCCGTCGGGGCAGGGAGCCTGTCTGCTTCATTCACCACCTGCCCCAGCCTTGTAGCCGTGTGCCTGATGTATAGGAAGCACTGAGTAAAATCTATGGGATGGGTCTAACCCGGGGCTCTCCCCCTCCAAAGCCCATTTACTACCCCATCCTCCCAAGCTGGTCTGCTATTTTTGCTCCCAGAGAAACTGGAGGACTCTTTGACAGTGTGTATCAGGTGGAGGCCAGGAGGAACTAGGGGTGGCAAGCCTTGGTTGAGGAGGGAGGTGAGGAGGTTGACCTTGAGTTCAGGAAAAGGGGAATGTGAACTCAGAGGGCTGGGGAGGTGAGAGGGGAGAGGAGGAAGGAGCTCTCAGACTGACAGAGGAACCCTAACTTGGACCCTGGAGATCTCAATTCCGAAGTTCAGACAACCTGGAAGCCTTCCAAACCTGCAGGACATGCCCCGGCTGGGCCACGTGCCCCACGTGTCTTTCGGAGTACCTGCCAGGGCGGTCTGTCCTCTTTACCCTCCCGTGGGCTGCTGGGGCAGAGGCCCTTTTCCCTGGGCATTTCACTTCCCAGCCACCTCTGTTGGGTCTGTGGGCAAGGCAAATCTTCCAGGATCTGTGAATCCAGAAAGGTTCCTCTGAATGGTCTTTGCTGAGAGCACTTTAATTATTAAGTAAGGCCCGTGCTCCAGAAGTCCAAACTGCAGCCAAATTCCCCTGGTCCCTAAATGCACCCTCAGAGAAAGGTAAATATTTAAAGAGACAGGGATAACTTTCTAAGGCCTCCAAATCCAGTGGAACCAGCAACTGAGGGCTAAAAGAGGACTGAGCTTTTTAGAGAACCCCAAGGAAATCTCTCAGGCTGGGGATATTTTAAATACTACTATTATTAGTAATATTAGTTACTACTACTATTAATAATTAATGATAATAGAAATCATTTTTTGAGTCTCTAAACTGTGCTGAAACTTTGTTCTAGTAAATTTAATCTTTGCAGCAATCTATGAGGTAGATATTATAATTCCGATGGGGGAGCTAAGGATCAGAGAAGGTGAGTCACTTGTCTCAGGTCACACAGCTAGTATGTTATGGAATCGGGAGTCAAACCTGATTTGTCCGAATCTGAAGTCCATCTCCTTCGTGAGCCTTTCGAGTGTCTGTTTTCTTTTCTATTCCTAACTTCCTTCCATTCTGATTCCCACTGAGTAGGGGACAGAAGCCAGTCAAGTTTGCCTGACATCCGTCAACCAGGCCCTGGACACCTGGTCTCAGCCAGCTTTGCCCACCTGGCCGTGTGATCTTGGGTAAGTCACAGCTTTCCTGCTAGCCCTCGGTTTCCCTCGATGTTTCATGCAGACGTTAAGTGAGCTTCTTTCTGCAGCGGAGGGCTGGCTAGGAGGGCAGAGTTTTGCCTAGATTTGACCAATGCGGTAATGGGGGAAGGGTAGAGATGTGGAGGTTGTCTTGAGCCCCACCCTCTGGTGGTGACATCACACAAGACACTTCCAGTCCCTGGAAGCCCCACCCCTAGTGACCCTCACCTGTGGAAGTGCCACCCAGGACCTGGCATCTGGCGAATTTGCCCAGTCCCATAGCAGAAGTCATCAGCCCCCAGGCTTGAGAGAAACTAGTGCAATTTGGCAGGCCTGGCAGGGGGCCATGGAGGTGTCCTGGGCTGGGGGAGGATACTTGGAAGAGGCAGGTCCTGGCAGCCTGGTGGGCAGACTACTCAGAGGATGCCCTGAGGGTGCCGTCTAGATACCCACCATCATCCTTCCAGCTCAGGCTGGACCCCTGCTCCTGCTCCTTCCTGCTGGCTCCAGGGGCCCTTTCCATGGAATCAGGAGATGGAAACTAGTTCTGAAAGTAGAACTATTCAGATGGAATGGGGCCTCTGGCTGAGGTCTAAAGGAAATAGGGCCGCAGGACCTCTGTTATCCCAGTATGTGGCCTCTGGGTTTTGTGCTTAGGGCCTGCTGTGTCTAGAGGATGGGGAGGGCTGTGAGTGAGCTGTCACCCACCTGATGGGGTGGCTGTGAGCTGGGGCATCACCGGTGCAGAGCAAGTGGGAGCTGGTAACTGGGAGAGACTGAGGTCCGTGGATGTGAATCAGTTGCTAGAAGCCTAAGGAAATAATTTATGGGAAAGACTTGGTTGCCTGCTTTAGACCAGTATTTTCCAAAGTAGTTCTGTGGGTTGCAGATAGATGTGATAGCAGGCAGGGCTGCAGCAGAGTGGCTAAGACTGTCTGTGCTCTGGGCCGGCCCCGTGGCTTGGCGGTTGGGTGCGCGCGCTCCGCTGTTGGCGGCCCAGGTTCGGATCCTGGGTGCGCAGCAATGCACGGCTTCTCCGGCTATGCTGAGACCGCGTCCCACATACAGCGACCAAAAGGCTGTGCAACTATGACATACCGCTCTCTGCTGGGGCTTTGGGGGAAAAAATAAATAAATAAAAACTTAAAAAAAAAAGAGACTGTCTGTGCTCTGCAGTCAGAGAACTGGGTTCAAATCCTGGCCCCACCACTCTCTCTCTCTCTCCCTGTGACCTTGGGTAAGGAGCTCCTAAACCTCTCTAAATTTCACTATCCTCAACAACAAAATGGGCATAATAATACCTACTTAATCTAACCTACTTAACATAACCAAGCTAGTTATGAGAATTAATTGCAACAAGGTTGTAAAGAGTGAGCATATAGTAAACACTTATTACATTTCAGCTGGCTTTATAATATATTACTGGGAAAGGCATCTTTGGTTACATAAGCTTGGCAAATGTAGGGTCAACAAAGCAAAGGAGGCTTCTTTGCTGCAGGACTTCTCAGAGCCTTTAACATACTGTTGTGCCATGGGAAGTTCAATGAGGAGGATATGGAGCATTGGATTGGACTCAATAGATCACAGGGACCCAGGAACTAGGCTACCATCACACGTCATCATTCCCTGGTCTTTGCCCTCGTGGTGGAATGGAAACCTTGCTGGATTGGGCAACTCTGGGGAAGGCCTTCCTGTCTCTGGGTTCTTGTTTCCTCAATGTAAAAAAAGGGAGCTGCATGAGATGCTTTCAGAGGCCTTTTCTGGCTCCCCAAGGTCCTGAGATGGGAAGAAAGTTGTAGACCAGGGCAGAAGTCAAATTGTTGAGGCTGAAGCCCAGTCTCTTGGGAAGGAGAAGAAATCCTGGCTCCCCAACAGCAAGACCGGCCGGGGTGGGGGGCGGGCGGCGTCTCATGCTCTAGATGGAAGTGGCCCCGTTAATTAGTCCATCAGCAAGGTCTGCTTCCTAAACCTGCCCTGTGCCAGGCTGTCTGGGAATATAACGCGGAAGAGTCCTGTGCTCCCCTGTTGCAGCCCTCCTCGTGCAGTGGTGTAATGACTTAACTCCTGCCTCCCCACCAGACTAGGAAAGGCCAGAGCCCAGAGCTGACTTCAGAATCATAATGCAGGGGGAGCTTGGGGTTGCAGATCAGGCTGGGAGGTGGAGGAGAGTGGGCTGCCTGTGTATAACAAGCCCTCCTGCATTTACTTGGACCGTGTGTGACTATTGGGTGGCCTCAGGGTGATCATGCTGCTGGTGGCAGACAATAGAAGTTCTTCATCCTGCCCAGATCTCCTTGTCTGTTACGGTGGTACAAAGGTGGTTGCAATAAATATCTGATGAACAATGGACGGAAAACCTGGAAACTGAGTCTAATAAGCTTGTTGGAGGGAGGCTGAGGGAGGAGAGTTGTCTGGCAGGTGCTAGTTTTTCAATAGATGTCTGATTTAATGAATGGCACAGTGAATAATGATAAGGCTGAATTAAGGAACTGGTATCAGGCAAATAGTATATTTATGAAGTGATTAATAGCACTTGCTACTTTGTCTTGCAGAGAGCAGTTTAGGGTGGTGGTTAAGACCCTAACTGAGTTCAGAGCGTGTCTCTGCCGCTTCCTAGCTAGGGGAGTGGGCAAGGTACTTACCTTCTCTGTGCCTCAGTTTATTTTCTGAAGAATGGGAATAATAACTCACAGGGTGTTATGATGCTTAAATGAGTCAATTACACATAAAGTGCTTAAAACAGTGTCTGGCACACAGCAAATGCAGTGTAAGCATTTGCTATGATTTGTTTTCCTTTAACCTCTACCATATCATGAAGTTCCTGAGAACAGGGATCAAATCCTTTTCCACTCTGCCCTCCCCTGGATCCAGCACGGGGCCTGAGGCACAAAAGGGGCTCAGTAAGTGTTTGCTAAATGAATGAATATATGCATATGTTGTAAATGCTAAACTGTATAACCCATTATAAGTTTCCCACAGGGGAAGGTGAGGGGGCAGTAAGGAGGTCCCCTGGAGGTGGCAGCTTATATTGGCCTTAGAGGATTTCAGTGGAGGGAAAGGAATTTGGCACAGGGTGCGACATTGGGTTAGGTGGGAAATGAGGGTGGGAGCAGGTCCTGGGGTCTTGAATGCCAGGGTAAGGGGTTAGATTTGATTTATTTACATTTAGCAATCATGGGTGGGCGTGGAAGGGCTGGAGGGGGGATCTTTTTTCTTTTTTTTTTGGTGAGGAACATCAGCCCTGAGCTAACATCCGATGCCAATCCTCCTCTTTTTTGCTGAGGAAGATTGGCCCAGGGCTAACATCCGTGCCCATCTTCCTCTACTTTATATAGGACACCGCCACAGCATGGCTTGACAAGCAGTGCATTGGCGTGCGCCTGGGATCCGAACCCGTGAACCCTGGGCCACTGAAGCGGAGTGAGTGCACTTAACTGCTGTGCCACCGGGCCGGCCCTGGAGGGGGGAACTTTTGAGTCAGGGTATGGCTGAATGAAAGGGCTGTTTTTATAGGATCAATTCTTATTGGGGACTTTCAGGAAAAAAGTGGCTTTCTGAGTTGAGCCTTGAAGGATATGAAGTGTTGTCAGGATGCTGTTTTGTTGTTCTTTCATTCAACAAACATTGAGTGCCAGTTACCTAGCTAAGTACCAGGAGTTCACAAAATGATGAGACAAACTGCCTACTCTCGATGAGCTCATGTTAACAATTTTAATGCTCATGAGAAGTTATAATGGTCAAAGGATGGGTATCTGATGGTAGGCACTCAAGTAGAGGAGTCGTCAAAGGAGTTTCAGGGGGCCAGGGACAGTATCACAGAAGAAATGGGTTTTGAGGGATGAATAGGAGTTTGCCAGACATGCAAGAGGAGGAAAATGTCTCAGGTGGAGGAAACAGCAGGCTCAGGGGTTTGGTGAGGCTGTGGCTGGATGTGAAGTGCATTGTGGTTGAGCAATAAGGTTGGAAAAGGTAGCAGGGACCAGATCATGTAGGGTAATGGAGGATCAGTGGGAGACCCTAGCCACTCTGAAGGGGCTAAAGGTAGAGGCAGTGTGTCTGTTAGCAAGGTCATTGTCACCACTAGGTGAACACTGATGGCAGCATGAACACAGGAGAAAACAGCGGGGGCTGCTGTGTGGAGCCTGGACTGGAAAGGAAATGGCTGAGATAGTGAGCCTTATTAATTAATGCATTCCTCAAACATTTATTGAGCATCTACTATGTGCCAGACACTGTTCTAGGCACTCGGGATACATCAGGGAGCAGAACAATCATGAGTCAGAGCTGAGCTCTCCCTTAGGATGACTCCTCTCCTCTTGGACAGTGTAGGGATAAGGGGGCGGGAGGAGGGAGTAAGAACTGGGCATCAGAGCCCCCCAGTTGCCACTCATGGGGGTGAGGGGGTGAGGACACTTGCCCCCTGACTTTGCTCTGGCTTCTCTCCCAGCCCCTGTCTGGCCCACAGCCATGGCCACGATGGTGGCCCAGAAGCTCAGCCACCTCCTGCCCAGTTTGCGGC